CGATAGAACTGGGCACCAGACGCAGTAGCAGACGATGTAATAAGTGCAATATTAAAAGGACAGGGCCGTCATGTCATCTAATCAGCAGATCTTGCGTTCATCGCTGGGGGTCATACCTAAGGCGATGATTAGTAGTCAGTTTGCTTCCGAGTTGGTAATTTTGTACACCTCGCATCCTCATCATGCCTACCTGTGACTGTCTTTGACGATGGCTTCGAGCGAGTTTTCGAAACGCCAGGCTATTAAATGTCCTGTTCCAGCGATCGCATTTAATTCTTCTTACTCTGAATAAAGTGATTCTTATAACCGCCAAAACCGTGAGAAGTAATCACAAATATGCGTTTTTGTTTCTCAAAATCAACGCATTTCGGACATGTTTGGCCTAGAGTGAAACCCATGAATTTTGGGACGCGCCAGCATTTCGGCGGTGTGTTGATTAGCACCACAGACGCCGAATAAACTTAACTGGAGGATGAAGAGGGAAACAAAGAAGCATGGAAAGAAGAAAAAGAAGAAGGTTAAGAAGAGGAAAAACACAGTGGGGGACGACGGGACATGCCCACAAAATGTTAAGGTTAACAGCCTAACAGTCTACAGTTTAAGGAGAAAGGAAAGAAGAAAACATAATAACGAAGGGAAAAGAAACAAAAGAAAGTAAGGAGGAAAAATAAAGAAGAAAAGGAAGAGGACGAGGAGGAGGGGGGAACAGGAACATCAAATAATTAGGACAAAGGAGGAGGAGGAGGGGGACGGGAGATATGTGCATAACATAGAGACGGCAAAAAGAGAGTGCCACCGAAAAAAAAAGCTCACTCAGACAGGGTCTTGACTCCCTCTGCTAAGGCCTGATTGAACTGGTAGTAGGGTTCGCCGGCAAGAGACTGAGATCCACCAGACGTGAAGGGGATTATTGACTGTACGCGGGTTCCCATTACGGCAGCAATAGAGCTGTCCTCGGAGGTGATCAAACGAGCCCGCATGAGCGCTTCCAGCCGACGCAATTTCACGTCCAGTGGGGTTCCCTGTTTCACATTGTTCACCACCGATGCAGTGAGGCCCAAAACCTGTGCGTAACAAAAAAAAGAGGGATAAATACGAATACACGGCGCTCCATGAAGATTGATGTGTGAAGAGAACACAGTTTCGTCTGCCGCCACAGAATGTGAGGGAGAAATGAGGAGATTCTGAGCG